CTAGCCCTAGGCCAGGGTGGGCCTAGGCCCCACCTCAAAAAAAATAAAATTACTAGTGTATATATATATATATTATGTTATATATAATTCCTTTAGAATGATATAAAATTAAAAAAAAAGGCAGTTTAACGTATAGTTGATAAGTTGGCAAGATGGAAGAAGTTTAATGCACATGCCTTATATGTCGGGAGTTCGAAACTCATCAAGAGTTTTTTTATTGATTTTTTTAATAGAGAGCATAACTTACAAATTTCAATTTTCTTTCTTAAAATCTCTTTGTCCTTCAAACATACGGAGTATCTATTTAAAACTAATCTTCTAAGATCAATTACTACAAGGCTATCACCAATTGATCTCAATTCTCAAATGTTAGATGAGCTACATGCTAATATTGTGAATGTTATTGGTCTTTTTGAATATTAGTCTGAAAAATTAATTTGTTCAATTCATTGGATTTGGTATGTGAAAATTAGTTCAATATGTATGAGTTTGAGGTGTTTTTTGCGTTCGACAGAGATTCTTATTCCTGTTATATTTATTTCGTCTTTGACATTTATGTTGAAATAGATTTTATTTTAAATATTTGAAAATAAATCTTGTCAAATAACATACTATTTTACTACATTTTGACTTTTCTTGTAATATACGTTATTTAATTAGATTTTGGCCCCACTTGAATGGCTATGCTGGATCCGCCCCTGGTAGTACTTCATTGCTATCAATATCAACCTCCTCACCACTACGTACGCTGTTAATACAAGTATTTTTAAAATATTACAATCATAGAATTTATGGAAGAAAAATATAACTACAGTGGCTGCAAGTATATTTTTATAGTTATTAGAAGTTTTTTAAATCAAATTTATATCTACTATCCTAAAATACTTTTATCATTAAACTAGTTTTTGCGATTCTAATTTTTGTGAAATTGGTAAATTTGTGCTCCTTATATGTTAGATTTTCAACAATTTTTTTTTGTTGAAAATGATGAAAGTGGGATGTTTTTAATACCATTATTTAAATAGTAAATTTAAATATTTAAAAATAGCTCTAGGATATATAAAATAAATGATTAAAAATCAAAACGCCTTTTCACGCCTAATCCCCGCCTAAGCCCGCCTAGGCTTCAAAGGCTTAAGACTTGGGCATGCCGCCTCGACACGCCTTATATTTAGGCCTTTTAGAACATTGCATATAGGTGATTGGGTTGGTAATTACAGTTTGTGATGTTTTTATTTGGACTGAAACATGTTGATCTGGTCTGTTTAATTAACTTTGGTCTGGTAAATGTCAGGACTGTGTATTTTATAAGTATAGAACTTTGGTATGGTTTCGTTTGAGCTGATCTATTCTAGTCTGGTCTGGTCTGGTTTGATCTGAACTGGTTTGATGAAGTCTGAATTGGTTTGATCTGAACTGATTTGGCCGGTCTGGTCTGATCTGGGACGGAATACGATCCAATTAGAAACATCCTAACTAAAAAGGAAAATTCTTGGTGTACACATTTTTTTACACGTTAGTACACCCCATTGTTTGTGAGAGTTTTTTTTTTGTCTGTGAATGTCAGTTCTCAGACAAAACCTGGCTTGTTTTGTCTGTAGAATTTCCACAGACAAAACAAGCCAGGTTTTGTCTGTGAACTGGCATTTACAGACAAAAAAACTCTCACAGACAATGGGGTGTACTAACGTGTATAAATACGTGTACAAAAGGAATTATTGAAGTAAAAAATATTTTCCGAACGAAAAACAATCAGTTTAAAGCTGTACATCAATGTGGAGAATGCTGAAGCTCGAAAGTATGGTCTCCAAATTTATTTCACAATAAAAGAATTGATGGAGTCACGTTCTATATACCAGGTATATATAATACTACCTTCGTCCCAAAAAGAGTTGCAAATTTGACTTTTCTTAGTCAAACAGTTTCGTTTTGTTCACTTAATTAGGATGTCAATTTTTAATTATTTTCTAATTTGGAGTTTACAACTTTGAAGAGATTTTAATGTAGTTTTTGAATATGTAAATTTTAATTATTAAAAATTGAATTAATTATGCATAAGGAGAGTTGACTTTTATTATTGGTTGACCAAAAAATGTTGACTTTGCAAAACAAATTAGGACGGAGAGAGTAAATACATATTCTACGTTTAGCTCAAACGTGAGACATATAATAAAGATTGTCTTGGCGGGTTTTAGTAATGTACTCCATCCTCTGGAAAACTCCATCTATATAATTGAAGCTCTACTAACATCTCACCAACGACAATTCAAAATTGTCTTAGTTAGCCAGTACTACTTGATAATTGTTTGGTTTGTCTTCCACGTGAGAATTGTTTTCTTGTCTATTTGTTTTTATAAGTTTTTTATGACTCAAACCAGTTTAATTTCACCCCCTGTGATTTTGGGTATGATATGTATGTATGTATGTATGTATATATGTATATAAATGTGTTTTCATGCCTTATGCCTACATGTGCATGTAAACGAAGAATGTTCACCAAACGGGCTATAAAAATCGTATCACTGACTTCTGGATTGAAATTTAAGATGAAATGTAGTGGACGTAACTTACATTTTTCGAAAAACATGCTTCCAAAATTTCATCAAAAAATTAATTCTATGCACAAGGACTTCGAATGTAGGCGTCCAGACGACGATTCTGGTTTGTGCCGCCGGACAAGAATGTTAGTCACATCCATGATAATTAACTTATTAAACCGAGAAATAAATCAAATAATGCACACTTGCTTAGTTGCTTTGACCCAAGGTAAATAAAATATAACAAATCATGTACAAAATTATATATGGTCAAGTTGAACGTTGATTACTTATTAGCCCTCCTTTGGTACAGATATGTTCATTAGTTAACTTATGCATGACACAGTCACACCGCCTATAAATAAGTGTGTCGTTCCATTATGTGACATGGGTGTGGAGACCAAACAGAGTGAATTTGCGAGGAAAAACAAAAGTAGAAATCTGGGTAAGAAAATTTGTCTGGGATGTTTTGGTTCTTTGTAGTTAAATAAGGGTGTCTAGAAGAGCTTTCCAGCCTCAACATTTTCATGATGGGAATTAGTATTCATCCCCTATGGTTGTCCCTTTACACTATATATATGATTTATAAACTCTGTGTTTTCCTGCCTGCTTGTGCACAACATCACCAGGATATATGTTAGGGGAATTTTCAGAAATAGGCTAAAATTTGAAAAACATATCACTTTTGTCACTTCCGGAAGTTTCTATCAAAAATAGACTGCTTACGTTTTCTCTTTCAGAAGTAGACCATGGTTCCATGGTTCCGTATCTGCTCCTTAGAAGTTAGAAAGCAATTGAGTTCCGTGTAGCAGCTGCCCAGTTGATGAGCAATATTGAGCATGTCCACATGTGCTTGCGGTGCCTCTACTCCCTCCGGCCTTCATGAACTACGGAGTAATACATAATACTACGTCCAAGTTCTAGAATTATTCATTTTTTGTTTTTTAAATAGAATAAAAATGTAAATATTTATTAAAACATTAAATGAAGTAAATCATTGGAAAGATATTTAAAATATTAAAAAATATGAAAAAACAAAAGAAAAAATCTCAAAATAAAAAAATTGTAGTAAAAATGCCAATTGAACCTATAAATTAAAATTTAAAAAAACTATCAAAATGTAAAAGAAGATAAAAAAAATCTTAGCCAATTAAAAATATGAAAAGTAATTAGAATTTTTTAGGAAAGAGTAAATTTTTTAAATCGGATACTATGAAATAGTAACTACAAATCTTTCAAATTCATATATAAACACATCCATTATAAAACATTCCAAAAAATCAAAATAATGTCTAAAGTAAAATAAAAATAGAATATTTCATGCATAAATATTTAAAATAAGAACATTATTGTAAACTATAAAAGCGTGTGAAATATTAAAAATTCTGAAAACCTAAAAGTTTTAAACAAAACACGTAAAATAAGATAAAATGTTCTGAAAATATTAATTAACAATATGAAAATCATTTATAGTTTTTTTTAATAAAAAGTGTATTTTTTTTTGAAAAAAATTACACTAGAAAAAACTTTAAATCATAAAGTTATAAACAAAGTACGTAAAATAAGATAAAATGTTATGAAACTTTTAATTAACAATATGAAAAGCATTTAAAGTTTTTTATGAAAAGGTTATTTTTTTTTAAAAAACAAATTAATTTTTTGAAAAGTTTATTTTTTTTAAAAGCCAAAATATATAAAACTAAAATTAAAGAAATTTTATAAAAATATATGATTATGAGATTCAAAAATAACAACTCAGAAATAAAAATTTGAAAAATGAAAAAAAAATTGAAAATGGTTAAAAATGTGATTTTTGTAACTCAATATCTTTAAAATAGTTACAAAATCTAGTAAATATCATGATCATTTTAATGCCAATTTTTGTTTCCTATTGTTTCTTTGTGTTTAAGTTTATTTAAAATTTTGGAATTTTGGTTTTTGTATTGTTTCTTTAGGTTTCATGTTATAGTTGGTAGCCATAAATCAAAATTTATTACTTTAGATGACTGTATGTAAATTTATACATCAATATGGTATGGTAAATAGAAATATAAATAAATGATAAATTAAAAATTTAAAATAAAATAAAAATGATTCGGAAAATTAAATTGAGTATAAATTTTGAATATTAGATTTCTATCAATAGTAAAAAAAACGTGAATAAAAAATTGAGTTATACTTAATTCAAAAAAATGCTAAAAATGTTAAATAGACAAGATGTTTAAAAAATGTTAAAAAATGAATTATACTTAATTATTGTTAGTTTTTGTTATTTATTTTTTATTGTTTATTTGTGTTTCACTTTGTTGATAACTTATAAAAATTTTGTTTTCTATTGTTTGTACGTGTTTCTTTCTATTTTATATTCACAAATCCAAATATCTCATTTTAGGTGGTTGTACATAAATTTATATATGACTTTTGTATTCTAATTAAGAAGTAAAGAGAAGTAAAAAAATTAAATAGATGACAAAACTCAAATTGAAAAATATAAACAATAATAAATCGTACGATGCAACAATGAGCAACACAGTGCAACAACAAACAACACGATGCAACAAAAAGCAACATATACAATACAACAAGAAACAACAAATATAACATACATAACTTTTATAATAAATATATAATTCAATTCATTACATGTATCAATATGTGATTTAGCTTTACTTCTTATCATTTCTTTTTCTTTTTAATGCATCTTAACACATGGTTCTTGCGATTTTGCTCTTTCCCATCGATCCTAGCTATCACCGTGATGTACTTCTTTTCTTTTATGCGCCTGCAATAAGAATACAATCTCTATGACACCAATATGCCAACAAAATAAGCATTGAAAGAATTTCAATTTGTTCAATTGAACGATATCATTCAAGTGACTACTATACTCTATTCATTTTCATCCATTTCATATTTCTTTGAAAGGATTTCAAACTGTATAATGAAAAAACATTGAGTCAGATAATGCCTCCAACAAAAGGTAAACTGTTAATGCTAAACAAGAAGAACAGACAGCTGCTCAAAACTTCCTCAAAACTTCAAGCATGTGATAACTGTGATAAATGCTAAATTTTTTATGAACTTAAGATTTCATTCGTTTAGTTCAACAACAAAAAAACCAAAAAGAAAAACAAGGCTCTTTGATTCTAATCCATAGTCAAAGGCTCAAGAAAAAAAAGCATGAAACTATAAATTAAAGGCTAGACTTCAATTATCACATACTAACCGTGATTAGTGCAAATCTTTCTATAAAATTAAGATTGCATTATTTCAGTTCAAAAACAAAAAAAAAAAGCTCATAGGTTCTAACTTCTAATTCATGGTCAAAGGCAAAGCTAAAAACAGTAGGCTGAAACTAAAAATTAAAGATGAAAGTCTCAAACAAAAAACTATAAACAAAAAATAAAGGTGAAACTAGAAATCTAGAATAGAACTTACCTGATATGATCGAATTGAAGTTAGCTAAGAACGAAGCTGGCCAATGTATTCTAAGCTCTTAACAATAAAATGATGCTTTAGAGGAGTTCGTTCCTCTCAAACAAGTTTCATGAAGAAAACAAAAAAAAAGGCAATTCAGGCCTCAGGAGCCTTTATCCAGGTGCAAGTTGATCTTCTTCACCAACTATTGCACCTCTCGACAACTTCTTCTTCTTAGGCTTCCGGATTTCCTGTTTTTTTTCATCCTCTTGACATGCTTTTCCCATTCCCTCCTTTGTTTATAAGTAAAACAATATTGCAACGCTAACCTATAGCTTATTCACCAGGTACTAGGAATTAATTAACACAAATGCTAAAGTTCATCAGAATGGATGAAGAACAGAAAGTACTCACCTTATAGATATTGTTTCGTAATCTGCTTATCGAGATTGGAGTACCTTTTCCCTGATTTGAGTGCATCGATGTGATTCAACACTTTCTTAATCTCCAAATTGTCGATAACAACATAGTGACTTTGTAGGATGATGGCTAGGGAGGATCTACAATGGATTTCATCGCCTCTAGCAAAGCTATCTGAGGCACATCTCAACCAACTGGAAGTAAAGCCGCATAGAATGGAGGACAGAGCGGAGCTGCAAGAGACGGAGCGCGGAGAGCAGAGTGCGGAGGGCGGAGCACGGAAGGCGGAGTGCGGAGCTGCACAGGACGGAGGCCAAACGGTGGAGGCAAAGCCGCAGAGCCGCGGAGGTCGGAGGCGCAGCGGGCAGGAGGACAACCATCGCTGGCTTCTATTTCAACGATTCGGGGATTGTGTTTTGACGTAGGATTAGCCGATTAGGTTATTTTTGAAATAAAAAAACATAATTGAAAATTCAAAAGATTAAAAGTGAAAAGAATAAATAATGGAGACACTAATGATATGTGGGGTATAAAAGTGGATCACACGGGTAATTTCCACTATATGTTACTCCTCGCGTTTAGCTCATTCAATTCTTATGTTACAACAGAATATTTTCCAGGCCCTGCCTTGAAAAATTGAAAGCCCTGTTCAAACTAAAATTAGAGGCCCTAATATTTAATTTGAAAAAATAATGCCAATGATACAATAAAAAATCAAATTTTATAAAATGCAATTCTACTTGATGAAGTAAACACCAAGAGTGTCAAAAATTCATTCAAAATTTTGAACTTAAACTACACTTATTTAAACAATGCTTTGTTTCTATAAAATTTGAAATAAAATCTTCAACAAAGCCTTGATATGCAACTTTCTTACGTAGATCACTCTGAATTGCTACTAAAGCAAATCCATTGAGTGTTTCCAACGTTATCCATATATTGGGAAATAATTCGGAAAGGAAACTTGTGATATGAATCAATAAAGAGGTTAAAAGAACGTATATGGGAAATATTTTAAACATGAACAACGGTCTTGAAAAGCAACGAAGTCAATAAAGAAGTTTACCATTTGTACTTAAAAAATTTGTACTTATATACTCCCTCCGTCCCCCTAACTTTGTCCCGTTTTACCTTTTTCGTCCGTCCCATTAAGTTTGTCACATACCATATTAGGAAATATTTGAGTGGTTATAAATCATTCTTACTTTATTTACACTTTACCAATTCAATACCAACCACACACTTCTACTTTTTCTTAAAAACCGCACCACACTCCTTTGTCCCAAACTTAGGGGGACGGAGGTAGTATATATTAGTATTTGTACTTATAATACTCCGTAATAGATATAATATTTGTTATCATTTTTATTTTGATTGGTAATTAGAGAGCAGGAACTAGCAAAATTAGTTTAACTCAAAACATTTATTACAAAAGGTATAAGTACGCTTAAAGAGAAAAGCAAACAAAAGCTCTATTTGGTCTGATGGCAGAGGCTCTGCTCTCTATCATTGAGAACTAAAGATCGATTCCCAGCTCCAACTATTTTCCAATTTAGTACGGGATTTTTACTCTTTTCTGGACCCAATCCAGATTGGCCCAAGCAAGACGCGCTACACAAATAGCATCGGGTTGGGCCGCTGACTAAAGTTATTTGATAAAAAATTATTGGGCCTAGGTATAGTACTACGTTATTAAAAATTGGAGGCCCTCTAAGGATTGGAGGCCCTGTGCAGGTGCACCAGTTGCACCTGGGCCGGGCCTGATATTTTCCTCACATTTGTTGATAGAACCGTGGAAAAAGGCGCAGGTAACATTTTTGTACAAAGTATATATGTATCTTTACATTAAATCTTCATCGATCATAATCAAATTTATTGGATAATGTAGTGTGCTTGGGTGGCTATCCCTCTGCATACTGCGTTGACAAAGGAGGACGCCATAATAAATCGCCTATATTCTTACCAGTGAATGATAATTGATTTTTCCTTGTCTTGATTATTTTCTTTGTAATTCATAACCAATAATTGACTTTATGTTTTTTTTTAAATTGAGTAGAAAAAGATTTTCCCAATTCGCAGCAACCCTGTTAAGTTATTTTACTGATACATACTTCCTCTGTTCTTAAATAAATGCAACCGTCAACATTTCACACTTGTCGAGACACAACTTTGACCATTAATATAAATGATTTTGTATTAGTAAAAAAATTAAAAAAAATTAGATTATGAAAATTTACAATTCAATGAGACAAGTTTAACAATATTTTTTTTTCATAAAATAATATTATTACATTAATAAATAAAACGTAGTCAAAGTAGAACATGTGAATAGTATAAAAGTCAAAGTGTTGCATTTATTTAAAAACGGAGGTAGTACATTGCAAATTCATATATTAATATGTGTTGGGAAAAACTCCGGACTTTCCGGCTTGGTGAAGTTAAGATAAGCACTTAGGAAATTAGGTAGCGATGGGAGCACACGATTTAAATTCTCCAATATGGAGATGCTTCTACTATACAAAAGAATCGTAGGATTTACAAGAATGTTACAAAATTGTCTCACTCAATGGTGGCTCACTCAAGTTTGAGGATATGAACTTCTCAAGCTATCTCTCTTCTCTCTCAAAGAGACTCTCTAACTTTCTCACTCTAAGAAGTGGATTCTCTCTTGCTAGGATGGTTAGGAATGAATCCCCCTACCCCTATTTATACTACTCCACCTTCACAATGAATGGTGGGGATGATTTCTATCTAAGGGTGGAGATTGATTTTCTAGAATGCTCCACACACTCTAGGAGTCTCCATACTCTTCCACTCTCTTCCATATCCTTCCATACTCTTCCATAGGCTTCTGGAAGGTTCCACACATCTCTAGAATATTCTAGAGGATTCCACAAGCTTCTAGAGAGTTCTAGACTCTCTAGGATTCTCCGAAACGTTCTAGAAAATTCTATACTTCTCTAGAAAGCTCTAGAATTTTCTAGAACCTCTCCAATTAAAGAGGGATCCCAACAAATCTCCCCCTCCCGACTTAATTGGGGGTAGTAGCAAACCTGCACCTTGACAGCAGTCTTCGAACTTCTTTGTCGGTATTACCTTGGTCATCATGTCTGATCAGTTCTCATTTGTGTCAACCTTGTCTGACCACTTCTTTGTCGGGTTGATTACTAGTGATGAAAGTCGCCTGGGAGTCTTGGATGGAGTCAACGTTGATGGCAGATCCATGACTTGTACCTCCTGCTGCCGCAGCTGCTTCGTCGTCCAAAGAAAAGAAGTGGGGAGATGGACGATCACGAACTGGGATTTGGATTCCATTGTTGAAATCCATGAAGCACTGATGAAGAGGATCCATTGGTGGCTAGGGATGTTCTCTTCTTCAACTATGTGTGTGTGTGTATATATATATATATATATTTTTTTTTTTTTTTTTTTTTTTTTGTGTGTGTATATATATATATATATATATATATATATATATATATATATATATATATATATATATATATATACTACGTATCAGGGACGGATCCAGGATTCTGAGTCAAGGGGGCGAAATTTTTCGTTAGTGTAGGGGGTGATTTTTTTTTGTTAGTGTAGCGGGGTGAAATTTTATTCTCTAGTATAGCGGGGCGAAATTTTTTCGCTACTGTAGGGCTATGTGGCTATTTTTATTCAAAAAATGACATTAATACATGCACATCCCGAACGACATTTAAATCTATTACATTCTCAGTTTAGACGATGACAAAGACATCAACCAATACATTTTTAATAACTTCTACATTGTTTAACCTCATGAATCGGTTATTGAATTGTAATTTTTGTCCACCAAGGAGGGTGTTCGTGAGTCATGACTCATGAGAAGTTTTCTTAATATTACAATAGTAGTATACTAGTATGTATGAGATTGTTATTTTTAGAATAATATGCACCACATACACACACACACACATATATATATATATATATATGGTGCATATTATATTTTAATATTTTTATTAATTCTATAATAATTTAGAGTTTATTATCCATGCAATAAATTATTTTTAGAAAGATAGAAGTAAATGAATTATGTAATCTAATGTCTATAAATATTTATATTTTGGATTCATTTCACGTGATCTAAAAACTGTGTAATTAGTGTGTCTGGTATTTAATATTGTTTGATATATGTTTTATGAAATCCAGTACTTGTTATCTAATAAAGATAATTAAACATTACAAAACTAGTAATTCTTATATAATAAGTATCCTAAATCTTAAATAACGAGTTACTCTATTGTCTATTTGTTTAAGTTATGTGAATTATTTTAGATGTTTCTTCTTTTAAATCTCCAATTAAGTATTACATTATGTAAGACTATATATATTAATTTTGAAAATTAAAAGCTAAGGGGGGCGAATCTAATTAAATAATGAAAGTTTTATGAAAATATTACATATATGGTAAAAAAATTTGAATGTCCAAGGGGGGCGGTCGCCCCCCACGCCCCCCCTAAATCCATCCCTGCTACGTATATGATTTATAAACTCTGTTTTCATGCCTGCTTGTGCATTGCATCACCAGGATATTAATAGCGTATTATTATTATTGTATTAAGGACCTATGTGTAATTATTTATCTTTTCATTAATATAAATACACCTCTAGGGCTACCACTTCGGTAAGCCATTATTTTCCAAAACTATTATCTCACATGGTATCAGTCGCTAGGGTTCTTTAAACCTCTTTTTCAATGTCGACCGCAATTCCTTCTTCCTCGGCGCCCGCTACCTCGGAGCAGCCACATGCTTCATGGCCAATCACTTCCTCTGCCGCGGTCTCATCCATGGCGCCCGTTATCTCGGAGCCGCCCTCTTCCGGCGTTGCTATATCGCCTGGTCCTTCATCACGAATGCAGCTTCCGCCTCCCAACTCTTACAACATGTTTAATATGCCGGAGCCATTCACCTGGACATCTACGATCCCGTCGCTGCCTCCTCCACCAGTGCTGACCCCATCTGCGTCGCCGGCTCGTGCTTCTTCCTCTGTCTTACCAGCCTTCTCTGGCCCGACGTGGACTGCAAATCCATTGCTTTCAACGTTTGACCCGCCTCCAGTCTTCCGCACGGCAGCCACAACGGTAAACTCCAGTCCGCTTGCTCAATTGTTTTCCCAGCTGTCTTTTTTGACACCTAACGTCACCAATGTAGTCACAACACGCCTCGCCACAGTTGAGGATTATCTTTCGTGGCGTACGCAATTTGAATCGTTCTCGGTTTCTCATGGATTAATCGGGATTCTGGACGGCTCACTCTCGGCTCCGCCTGCTCTTATTCGGGGTGCCACTAATCCTGATTATACTTATTGGCTGCGTATTGATCAAACCGTACGCTCATGGCTTTTTGCTACTCTTTCCCGGGATATTTTAATTGAAGTTCGGGATCTCCGTTTTTCTGCTCCTATT